ATTGTACAAAATTTGGTGATAATGGTTGGAGACGGCTTGGATGGGGAATGAAGAAAGACTGTAATATAAGGTTAATATAACAGCAAATGTACAACGTTTCAACATGGTTTTGTCATCATCAGGTACGAGTAATTTGCACTGACCATTTAATTACTTGTACTTGATGATGACAAAACCTTGTCGAAACGTTGTACATTTGCTGTTATGTTAAACTTATATTAAAGTCTTTCTTCATTACCCATTCAAGCCGTCTCCAACAATTATTAGTCTCAAAGTGGGTTCCTCGTCATCGAAAATTTGGTGATGTTGCATCAGTGTGTCTCCTTGACAACCAAGCAAATGTAATGGGGAATTTCAGCCAATGATTATCATTTCTATGCACCAGCAATACCAAGTGTGAGGTGCACTTATACCCGATTTTAGTACTCATCACAGTGTCTATCAACTTGCCCAAAGTAGTGAATCATCCATTTTATATATATGGCTGGAAAAATTTTAAGAATACAAGCTTGCTTGTTTGGTACAGCAGAAAGCACCATTGTTTCATGTACATGTCAATCGGTACAGCAATGGCTGAGATACTGTTGTGACAGACGAACAGCTCTTTATATAGTATGTTCAAAATCTTGTTCCAGTAATGCATCTGCAAATTAATTGTGTAAACTGTGTGTCAAAATGCAGGAATAAACCTTATAAACTGGCTGCGATTGAATGTGTGAGACTGACATTTGTGTAAACTGTGTCAAAATGCAGGAATAAACATGATAAACTGGCTGAGAATGAATGTGTGAGACTGTCATTTGTGTAAACTGTGTCAAAATGCAGGAATAAACACGATAAACTGGCTGAGAATGAATGTGTGAGACTGCCAATTTTTGTAAACTGTGTGTTAGTATACAGGGATACTAACTGCTAGTAATTATTTAGAAACTCCTGAGAAGGATTGCTTGATGTCATTAAGTCTAGGCCTATCAGAGGGGCAGTAAGAACAACTTGATTAGAAACTCCTGAAACGGATTGAATACCAAAACTTTTAGCTTTTTTAACTTATGAGTAGAAGTGATTATTACCTTTATAAACAATTTATAGCTTAGATAATTACAACAATGTGCTGGTGAAAGAATACAGGTGCTTTAAACTTGAAAATTCACATTTTATTTTCTGTACAAGGGATGCTATTCACCTTAATTTTACAACTTGTAACACAAGAACCAGCCAAATTAAAAGTTTCTGAAGTGAGTTCTTTATTAACAATGATCATAAAAACCAAGATAACCAACAAAATTAAAAGTTTCAGTAGTGTGATTTTTTATTAGCAATGATAACATGCATCATATTTTGAAACAATACATGAACTAAAGATGTATAAAAACCACTAGTTGAATGACTACAGAAATGAGAGGTCCTCTCCTTTTGTACAAGAAAACTTAATTCACCAGAAACGTTTTAAAGCTAAAGCTATTACAAATCTGTTACTGAAGAGAAGCTATTCTAACACTGTGTACACAAGACTCACTTTAAAAGGCTTATATTTGTTTTTTAACATCGGAGGGAACATATTTCCGTGGGAATAAACATTTTAACTAAACAGTACACAATACCAGATGAATACACTAGCAGGATTTCTGATAAGTTGTGATAGTTTTAAATCCAGGTTTCTTAAATACTTAATAAGTGGTTTTAACTTATCTACCAGTTTTACAAGACCAAAACGTTGATGGTAACATTTCATTTAACAACTCCCAAAGGAAATAATACTTTAAAATAAAAATACATTACTTGTTCTTTTTTTTCATTATTTCCAATCTAACACATGCAAAAATTAATTATAGATTTTGCTGTTAATGTCAGAAGATGAAAAACTGTCATTAACAATAGTCATTCTAAAATAAACAGATATGGTAGGGGTTGATTTATGATGTGTAATTCTGAATAAGATGCTAAAACAAAACATAATTGAAACCTTTCTGGGCAGAATATTTAGAAGTACATGTTTGCAAAACTGCAAAAAGCTATACTTTTGTTGTCACTAATCAATTCACTTTTCTTCCATCACATTGTTTCTCAAAATAAATGATTATGGGTGATATGTGGAAAAAATGGTGGCACCTTAAATCCCGACATTTATTTTGAAATGACACGAGTAATCTAAGTTTTCCACTACACAAAGGTAATTTCTAATGTTCACTCCTGTAGCCTGCTGAACTTATAAGGTCAAATTCCTAAACATACACACAAAATTTATCTTTCATTAAATACATAAACAACTTCAGTAAGGAAGAATATATACTTTTTGTATCAATTCCAGGTAAATATAAATGTTATTAAACTAGCTATCTAACCTTTTAAATCAGGTGCTGGCAGTCATTAATAACATGTCAAAATATTGATCTGCTTAGTTTGCCGTTTTATTTAATTTTTTTTAGTAAGAACCATAAAAATCATTCTGATGGTAATACAACTTTAGTGACAGGTACAGAAAAAAAGCCACTTACGGTTCATCACTAGAGCAATTAAAGTTTACCACAAATAATGAAAATTGTGCATTAGCTAGAAAGTATCTGAAAATTTTAATCAACAAACAAAATTTAAGGAGTTGGAGTGCATAAGAAGTTAATTTTGGTATCTATTTGAGCAATTATTAAAAAAACTACATTAAAGTCTTATACCAAAATATTTAATTCCAAACCACTAATAAGTGTATTATTATTCTCATCTGCTTGTTCTTCTAGCAACCTTTTCCTTCTTATAAAACAGAAGTAGCGAGATACCTCATGCTTTTATCAACAGTATTACAGAAGTCAGACTTTCTCAAGTTTGAACATCCTCATAAAGAATTTATAATTTTAGAAGAGGTTTTCAACTTGATTGGTAAACATGAGTAGTGTTAAATTTTGTAACTTTCACTTTAAAAACTAGGCCCAATTTCACTTGAAATATCTTCAATTCTTAATGAAAATATTTCAATAAATACAAACTAACGTGTGACAAGTAAAAAGAATTTATATTAACTACAGTAAGATAGCCAAAACCCATTACCTCTTGTATCTTCATATTCTGTTGTTTTAATGTAATGCAAACCAAATGAGTTGATTGGTCATACAGAGATCTTACAACCATGTCAATTTGACAGTAGCTGTGTATACTAAAAAGTGTAAGTAAGTCTTTTCATGGTATTTTTCTGTTTCAACTTTATTTCCATTTTTTTCTTACTGTAATGACTAAAATGTAAGACTGCAAGGGTTTCTTTGATAGTGATTACATATATCAAAGGTATTAATATGGATTTTATCTTTTTCTTACATGTTTAGAATTTTTTTTAATAAACATCAAAATCATTCCCTTTAAATTTCAGTATATGTCATTTTGTGTACATTATTTTTTATACGTTTCTTCAGCCATATTGATTAATTCATCAACTGAAAAAAATATAATTGGAACCTGCATTTCTACAGTAAATTCACTTCCTTAATTACTTTTATTTTTTAATTTTACAAATGCAAGAACCAAAAGTTTTAGATCTAGAATTCATCAACATCTAAAACTGGGTTTTTATGGTACAAAGTTTATTCTAAGTTAAAAAAAGTACTGAATAAAAACATTTTTTATTAACTTTACACTTTAAGGATACCAACAAAATGCATACATCTGATCTGGGAGTTAAGAAATGTGAATTTCAAGAAGTTTTATTGTCTCCATATTACAAGTTAACTAAAGAAATCAGTAAGGACCTGGCGGTCTTCCTGTATAATGAAGCATGTGTTGGGGAGGCCCTTGGTGATGAAAGGGCCCAGGGCTTGGAAAAGGAAGTAATCCATGCATGTTGGACGAAGGTGGCATACCTTAAAAAAAACAGATATAACTGATCAGACAAGTTAATAACTCCATGATACTTTTAACTCTATGGCAGCCATGTGCTATGATTCATAGCACGCAACATAGCTCTCATCATATTTCATTCCTAACAATTGAATTAGTTGATGAAATTGTTTAAAATTTGACAAGAACGTTCCTGAAAGTATGTAGTTTTAGAAAAATAAAACATTTAACATTGATTTTTTCTGTTATTTTGAATAAAAAAGTTATTACTTAACATAGTTATTTGCACTCACACTTTTAATAGTTCACTTGCAAGGTGATATTTACATGAAGTATAAAAATAATATTTTTTATCTTACAGTTGTCACATTTTATTTGTATAATCTCTAGAATCTCATAAATGAATATCAAAAGTTTTCTTGATGTAAATAAATATTTATATTTTATTACCTATTTTCTCTACCATATCACTAACTAGTTATCATCATCAACATACAGTGCACTTAAATGTTTAAAATCAACAAATGGAAATACGGACATACCTTTCAACTCTTCGTAGAAATGTACTAGAATAGTCATATTTTTCTTACATGCATAATTTAAATTATATCGTTTCATTCACTTTAGTTTATTTTTTATTTTCCTTTCAAATTCTTCATCTATTATATTTTACGTTCATACATTAACTGATGCCCACAGAGCTTTACGAAGTTATTTTGGCAGACTCCCCATAGAGATGCATTGCCAAAACAAGATGGTGCTTATACACACCATCTTGTTTATAAACTTTCAAAACTCAGGCAGCAAGTTAAGCTTATAAAAATCATTAAACAATTCAGATATGATTTTTAATACACACATAATACATATTTAACTAAAATATAAAAGTAAGACCTAAATACAGTTTAACTGTCTCTAACTATAGCACATTTAAGTAAGAAACCACTGTATGTGCCTTAGTCGTTCAAGCAGACAAGAATATGAATGGCAGCTACATGTACATTGTAAGGACAACTGCGCATCAATTTCAAATTAACCATTGGTATAGTATAGTGTAAATTGAGCTCTTTCTAACGACCATATACACTTATGTCAACTAATTATATGTACGTTGTAGATCTCAAGGCAAAGTATAGAAGGTGGGCATGGAAGCCATCAAGGGTTGGAAAATTTATATCAGTTTCACAGAGAACCCACTTGCAGACTTTATATCTTACATGAAAATTAGATCAAACATACATACTTGGTGTGTAGAAACACCTGTATGTGCCAGCTTGTGTGTCTAAGAGAGAGAAATGGTGCTAAAGTCAAGATTTTTCCAAGCGACATGAAAACTGAAGTTTAAGTATTTTTTGAAAGGTTTCATTTGAAACCAAGTAATTAAAACTTAAATAACAAAAAAATTCAAACTGTAACATACATTATAATGTTACTTTCATTTATATATATTGATAGTAGAGTGGTTTAATTAAATTTAGAATGTAACAGCACCATATCTAACATGGCACCATACATAACACAGTACCATACGCAAAAAAGAATTTTAAAATTTTCCTAGGAGCCATAGGGTAAAATAGTTCAAGCATTTAAAGATATGCCAATGCTATTATGAAAGTGATGTACTAAGAGAAATTTACAATTTAAATTCTATAATAATTCAGTTGAGTCT